CCGAACATGCCTACACAGGTTGATGTATTCACAATATACTTGTCGCCACACTGACATGTTTACACCATGATACTGAGACATTTCCACCGCTTTGATTATTTCAAGTTCATATTGACTTCGCTTACGCTAGATATGTAAATGCAACTGGAAGATAACATATGTGTCCTAATCTACAATCAATATAATTATTTATTTGGGGCAGTCAAGTGGTAAAAAGCGTTCGCGGTTCGATTCGCCACATGGGTACAACGTGTGAAGCCCATTTTTGGTGTCCCCCGTCGTGATATTGCTGGAATATTGCTAAAAGCGGTGTAAAACCATATTCACTCGATATATGTATTTTTGTTAGTTTCAGATCGTGTGGTAAACCCTTCCAACCACAGGATGTTCTGCGTTAAACGGAAAATGAATTTTTTAAGGTAGGAGTCGGATTTATATTTTACGCTTTGCTACCTATCATTTATGTCAGAGACGGGGGGTTAAATTCGAAGTCTAATTGGACTGTCTTATTCATTTTTTTGCATAAAGGATGTAGTTTTCAAACAATACAAGGTTCACATTATTACGTTAATTTATTTTGCCGTACCCTGAAATTTATCACCAGACAGACAGACAGATAATCTAAGCATTGAAAAATAACATGGTTTATATTTGAGGCTGACAGATGACCACAGAAATCTCATGCTTAAAAGCGGCGTAAAACCATACTCATTCACTCTCTGATTACGGGTCATCGCAGAACAACTTTCACCAGACCGATCACAGAATTGCATACATGAATATTCATAACGCATTTTGCAAAGGGAAGTATTTTACAACGTCTAATCCACGGCAGAGTTAAGTTTTAGCAATCCCCTAAAACCGTGGTCGAGGAACTCCCTTGAATCAGTCAACAAAGACAAGAAGACAGCGTGATCACTGTCCCCCAGTTGAGTTTAACCTGGGTTGTTGTGGGGGGTGGGGGTGTATTTGTTGTTTAACGCCGCACTCAGCAGTATTCCAGCTGCATGGCAGCAATTGTAAGTAATCCGCTGTGGACCAAACAATCCAGTGATCAACAGCATGAGTATCTACCTACGCAATTGGGATACGATGACAAGTCAGCGAGCCTGACCACCCAATCCCGTTAGTCGCCTCTCATGACAAGCATGGGTAACTGAAGACCAATTCTAATCCGGATCTTCACGGATTGGTTAGGCTATGGTATCACGGCTTGTCACGTAACTAGAGGGAGGAGGGTAAACGAGATGCTGTACCTAGACCTTTACCGCTTTAGACTCCCGAGCTTGGGCATTACGCTGACAAAGCAAAAAGCATGACCTTTCGAAACCTAGATCATAGCTAGGTTTCTGGAGTGTTCAAGGAACTCTAAATCGCAGCGCCACCCCTCTTTTCCCAAACAGAATGTTGCTTGTTCATTCAGTTTAGTGATTGAGTGAGTTTAGTTTTACGCCGCGTTTAGCAATATTCTAACAACATCACAGTGGAGGACACAAAAATGGACTTCACACATTGAACCCATATGGGGAATCGAACCCGGGTCTTCAGCGTGATGAGCGGTCCATTAACCATTTGGCTACCCCATCGCCCCTTAATATAGTAGAAAATATAGCATGGAAGTTATTGTTAACTATGAAAGGTATCCTCTAAAGCAAAAAACAATTTTAGTTATCAGAGTGGCTTTATGTCACGATAAACCATTCCATCGGAGACCTACTCCGACCAGTCCTGAATCCGTCACCATTTTAGTCCCCATACCCTAAATTGGTAAGAATTCACAACATGTGGAAACTTCGCCTAATCGCACGGGTATGACCCACTATTGATCAGGTGCCACGGTGACAACTACCTATATCAGGAAACTACCGGAAAATAATAGAAATGCAAAGTATAAGGGATGTTTTTAAAACACTTTAAAAAATAAATCACTGGAACGAAACGTGCAGAAAGCAATTGCAGACCTATAACTTAGCTGTTTTGGTAAACGTTTTACTGGTGTTCTCAACGTGATGGAATAAATCAAATACTTAATCCAGCACAAGTCGGATTTAGAGCAAAGTGATACACATGAAGGCAAGCATTCATGGATGACAACTGGTAACCGTTGATACATATACATATCTCGGCATACTTTTTCACAGAAATAGAAGACTGCTAACTTATATCAAGACATGAGCAAACACTCTACAAAAGACAGGTACGCTCTGATTAACAATCTCCTTTCAGATTTGCTTTGAAAGCTTTTGATGTGAAGGTATTACCTATCCTTCTGTATGGCTGTGAAGATTAGGGATATAATATTTTGATTTCATGAAAAGAAAATTACAATTCAGAATCGCAACAGCCATACGAACATCAACGCCAAAGTTCATAAGTTATGGAGAACTTGGACGATTCCCCCCTTCAAGATAACGATATTCAGGAAAATGATAAGCTACTTGCATAAACTACAACGTAACGATTACCTAATTAAGCTGTGTAAAATGAGCAAAAACCACGTGGAATTACATTATGATCGAAACCTGTCTCAAAACACTTTTATTATAGAATTGTTTAGATAACTGTGGATCAACCAAAGCCCAAATGTACGATAGACATTGTCTGGTTCCTACGATTGAAAGAATGCTTAAAGATTAATTTATTCAATCCCGTCGTAATGAAATTGAAAACTATACGACTATAGTGTCTTCAAAACTATGCCATCTTTCTGTATTTATCTGTTTCGTACATCTTCACTAGCATACACTTTACTGACATTTAGAACCTCAAATCATTATTTTCCTGTACAGACCGGTCGTTGGTGCAATGTACCACATGATCAGAAGACATGGCCCCTTTGTAACCCGTGAAGTTGCGGGATAGAATTAGTCTTCAGCAACCCATGCTTGTCGTGAGAGGGAACTAACGGGATCGGGTGGTCAGGCTCGCTGACTTGGTTGACACATGTCATCGTATCCCACTGGCGTAGATCGATGTTTATGTTGTTGATCACTGGATTGTCTAGTCCAGACTCGATTATTTACAGGTCGCCACCATATAGCTGGAAAATGGCGGAGTTAACAAGCAAAGTGGCACCGGGAATATAGCTAGAATATTGCTGAGTGCAGCGTTAAATAACAAACAAACAAAGCAATGTCTGCTATTGCTGATGAATGTCATTATCCCTTGCAATGTCCAGCCTTCAAAAATGTGTCAGTATTAAGAAATTTGTTGCAATAACACATTTTACACTTAGACCAAATTGACGTTAACTGTCATGTCAATCGTGTTACCTGTAATACTGCTGTTTGAATATTTATGCTCTCGTACCACCGTTGGTGTGGGTTTTAAAAAAAATGAAAACCTTGAACCTTGCCAATTAATTGTCAGGGCCTTATTGCAAATCAGTCAGGGGAATTTAGAACGACCAATACTCTGATAATCTGATGATTACTTACAGAATTATGGGACACTGAATATCACTAGTTCAGCGAATAAATAATGTAATATTAAAGAATATTGTAACTTATTTTGAATTATCTTGTGGTAAATAAATGGAAGTACGACTAAATTAGCCCACTTTACAAAGACAAATATCGTGGCGATCATCAGGAGACAAAAAGTAGTGGGTGGACAACGCATGGCCAAGCAGCCACTGGACTTGTTCATCCCTACCCCGCCGTCTTATTATGAGGCGCGAGCGGACTTCGGAGAAAACAACTTATTTTCAGCGTCGCCTAATTAAAATTGGTCGTCTGATTAACAGAACTTATGTTAGTTTGCAGTACATCAACCTTACAAGAATAGGTACAGTAAAGAATGATATATGTATGGAAAGAACGCGAACTATACTACAAGGAGTACATTTAGATGTAGTGAGAAGGATTTGTACAATTAGTAATTAGAAAAGCAGTGGCATAGTTGAGTCAAAAACAGAAGATAATGGGTTGCCACGGGAACTTCGTGATATCTGGTCATATATTTATATATGTGTATAGCGCCATCCAGCTCAGCTGCTCAAAGGCGCTTTGATTTTCCCTCGATCGTTGGATGTCAAACTCAAACGGCGAATCGTAATATCAATCTCAACTCCTTGGGGATCATACAACTCTAGCAGCCACAAGGCACACCGATTTAATGTGGCTTTCCCATCTTTACGAGGTACTCATTTACAGGGTGAACTGGGACACATATTCACAGTACTTTGTCCAAGTTATACTGCATGTTGCTGTACCCGCAACTAGGTGTTTCCACGTAAACATGTAGCCACCATCTGGTGTTTTGACAACGGATTCGTGGGTTCTTTTATGTGCACAGGGTTGTGTACTGTACACTATGGGTTGTGACAACACCGAACGAGCAAAAAAGGTGGAACACCAGGTAGGAAGGAATAAATGTCACGAACTGAAACCAAAAATCAGTTATACCTACTTGGGTTGTCAGTGAAGACGTCCCATTGGCCCACGTCGGTTTACTATCTGCTCAAAACAGATGGAGATGGACCTCCTATGTGTATCTCTTGCGATGAGATGTTCACATCAAACATTCTGCTTGACTGTGTGGACATTTCATATGCAAGGAATTCACATTTAGAATCTGGAAGATCTGTTTTCCCACGTGATCTCAATCATAAGTTGTAAGTTGTATATCTATGAAACACTTGCTGTGTTTGAAATATGTATTTTAACAAACTACTTTGTAATTGTAACTGAAACATTGTCTCGTCGCTGTGTGGCTGAAACAATGCCGATGCCACGTAAAACTTCATCTCACTCACCCATTATAAGGACATGATATAACATAACGTAATCCTGATACAACATTGTCAATGTTTCAGGCTGTTCCTCCAGGTTTCAGTCGTTGCCATCATCCTAGTCTTCAGTATAAGCTACAGCAATTTTGGAGAAGCTTTTAAACGGAATATACTAATATCAAAGTTCGACAACAACGAATGTATATGTGACAGAGGAACAAACACTATCACGCACAAGGCATCCGCCAGTCAGGTCGAACCGAAGACGATGGCATCAGCTGCTCTTCAAAAGGATCGTCGATATTCGTCAGAAGTTCGCCATATTGCTTTCTTGAAGGTCCACAAATGTGCCAGTTCCACAATGCTGAATATCTTCTATAGGTTCGGTTATAAAAGGGGACTTAACTTTGTCCTTCCCATCAAAAGTAACTATTTAAATATGATTCATAAAAAAAGAGTGATATCAGTTGTGCCCCCACCCGCAATGTCCGGGTATGACATCCTCTGCAATCATGTGACTAAATTCAACAAACAACTATTCTCTCGTTACCTACCACCTGACACCAAATATATTGCCATAGTTCGAGAACCATTCAAAAGAATGTATTCAGCTTTTCACTACTACCGGAATGTAATACACTTTCCCATCCTTAGAAAAATTAGAGGCGTGGACCCGTTCAAGGCCTACCTCAACAATATTACATCATTGGAAACCCTGTGGGGAGATCATTCATTTACTAATAACATGATGGCAAGGGATTTTGGTTTTCCTACTGAGGAATACAAAAACATTTCAAAGTTCAAAACGTACCTCGGAACGCTCGACAAACATTTTCACTTGGTTATGGTCTCGGAGATGTTTCTCGAATCACTGGTGCTCTTGCGAAGGTTATTAAAATGGTCAATGGAAGATGTGATATTTCTGACAATAAATGTGCATGAACATAAAAATCTCACAACGAATACTAGCTCGGAGAATATCGAACCTTTCCTAGCTCTTGATCGTATCCTGTATGACCACTATCTGACAAGACTAAAGGAACAGATTGATGCACAAGGGCCTGATTTTTACAAGGAGCTTCAATACTTCAAAGATGTTAACTCCAAAGCCTCAGATCTTTGTAGTGCAAATAACACTACCAACAAACTGCTGTCATTGAGGGCAAATGAATGGCATGACGACTTCACTATCACATTACAGGACTGTGACCTGCTCAGCAAAAAGGAGATCACGTTTTTGAATTTAGTGAGGGATAAACAAACTGAACGCGTAAAGACATATGGAGCTAATATAAGTTACTTCCAATAAGGTTTTTCCCTCTATGTATTATTATGCATAAAATATGGTGTATTTCTTTAGCAGTACCCTTTGTAATTTGCAAAACAAGAAAGGCTTCGAGCAGTACTATTTTAATCTGATGCATGTGATCTCTGGTTGGTGTGATTTTCCTTTTGAAATAAATCCAAAATTAACATAGGAAATAAAATATACTCTTAAAAAAAAAAGAAACTTAACATGATGTTTTGGAGTTTATTTTCTGAGTACTTATAACTGATTCAAACATGGCATCATTGCTCAATTACAGTAAAATGTAAGATTAAAACTTTACAAATTTCCAAAACATGATTATCCAGAAAAGTGTTTGGTAAAACCACACAGGGCTATTAAAGCCTCTTGGTCAGAGTAAAATGTCAGTATCTGGTGGGATTTAGCAAGCCTTGTGAGACGTCAGCCTTTCACTACAAATGGCATCCTGAAACACCTATGGCTCCCCAACAGACGTCTGTGCAATAGGATTGTTAGAAACCGCATACAGGCACATGGGACGAGGGCAAAAAGGGTAATCAACCGTCCAGCTTTGACCAATCTTCACAAGAGAGCTCATTTGGAGTGGTGTTTACCCCGATGTCATTGGAATTTGGCGTCATGGAGGAAGATGCATTGGTCGGATGAGAGTCACTTTTTATTGCACGTCACAGACTGGCGCCAGCGAGTCTGGAGGGTTAAGAACAGTGCCTATGAGCCTAAGAACATCAGAGCATCAGTTCCTCACGGTGCTGCATGGATCTGTCATGGTCTGGTGTTGTCTCCCCCATGATTGTAAACAGGACTTGGTAACTGTTCGTGGAAATCTCAACGGCGACCACGACATCCGGGACATTCTGGATCCTGTTCTTGTGCCACATCTGTTCCATTAGCCCCTCGCACTGTATTTATGGATGGCAACGCCCGACCACATCGTTCCCGATTTGTGCCAGTTTTTCTCCAACAATGCTGTAACCAAACTTCCATAGTCTGCTATGAACCCGGATCTGAACCCATTGGAGCTTGTCTGGGGCATTCTTTGACGCCGAGTGCAAACAATGGATCCGCCTGTACAAGATCTGGCATGTTTGGAAGCAGTTTTGCACCGGGAGTCACAGCAGCTGCCTCTGCGACGAATCCGGAGACTCACGACAAGCATGAGGAGGAGGGTCAAGGCAGTCATCCGTGCACAAGGTGGATATGCACGCTATTAACATTTTTCATGTGATTTGTTGTCTGAAGATGACAGAGAACAGTTTCAGACTGAGAGACACTCACCTCTCCCATTTTGGAACTCCGCAGCCCCATAGTTGTACAGGGATACATTTTGTTGACAAAACATCGTTAACGTTTTCATGTCATTTTTAAATTAAAATATTGCAAATTTTCATGATTTTGTAATCGTTTAGTCCAAAACTTTCAGGAAACAATGGCGTTTAAGCTTTCCAGTATACATTCTAACGGTAATGGTTGCTCAGTTTCATGGCAATATGAAAAAAGTTCCATGTGTATATTTAGTGCCCCATATCTCTGAATCATATTACAAAATCGGTGCAATTTTACCATAAAAAATTGAACATGCTGTTTTAAAAAAAAAATAAGTATATACTGGAATAAAAGCTTTAGAAGCTTGACATGCTTATTGTTTACAAGATACTGACCATGATAATCTAGAAGATATAACTAATACTAAATACTTATAATATGTCCTAATTTCTAAAGGAACATTGTCATATGCCCAGTGTTCATGTTTCGCTATTTCACCCCCATTTCTGAATACAATGACATTTGCTTTTGTGTAAGTGGACTTCTAAACCCCATTTCTTGCAAAAGGAAGACAGTACATTTAATTGTTTCTGCAGGCCATTAACAGTGTATGAAAACCTGACAACATCATCCGCAAAAAGAAGTAACATTAAATCAAGAATATCCTGTGTCACAAATACACCATAACTACACTCATTATATACTTCTGCTACAGGTTCATTAATGAAACAGTGAGTGAGTGAGTTTAGTTTACGCCGCACCCAGCAATATTCCAGCTATATGTCGGCAGTCTGTAAAGAATCGAGTCTGGACCAGACAATCAAGTGATCAACCGCATGAGCATCGATCTGCGCAATTGGGAACCGATGACATGTGTTTCATCAAAAAGATATATAAAGCTGGGCTTAATATGTAACCCTGTCTCACACATCAGAAGAATAGATATTTCTAATGACATTAAGCAATTTTCCATGACAACCTCTAGTACTCTATACAACAATTTCTTGCTATCAACGTAATCAAAAGCTTTTTTAAAATCAATAAAAGCATTTGTAATATGAATAGATTATCAACTGTTGAGTAGTTTTGACGGAAACCAGCCTGACATTCTGATGAAAGATCATTTACTTCCCATCATATTCTAATGCGCTTTTCTGTAACAATAGTGAACAATTTACCTGTAACATTCAGAATGGAAATACTTCTATAATTGTGGGGGTCAGCACGTTTACCCGACTTAAACATAGGCAAAATCATACCTATATTCCATGATTCTCGAAAATCGCCAGTTTTTAAGATTCTATTAAAAAGAAGTTTCAAATAAGGTACAATAAAATTCCCGACACCTTAAAGAATTCAGGGGGTACTCAATCCTCAGCTGTAGATTTAGCACCTTTTCAAATTTTCAGAGCATCTACCATTTCTCTTTCGGTTATTTCACCTGACAAAAGATCATCCGTGAAAGGCAAATCATTAACAATCCTTACAAGAATGTGAATTAATATACTGGCAAAGAAAACAATCAAAATTGTTTCCATCAACATTTTCAACTTTCGGATTTAACAAATTATTGAAATACTCGTACCAAATATCCAGAGACATCGAATAACTTGGAACATTTCCACGTATAACTTTCTTTAATGTCTTCCAAAAACTCTCCATGTTCAGCAGACCTCTTTGTATCAACACATATTTTGGTATTATAAAAACGCTTCTTCTTTTCACAACATTTTTCATATTCAGTTTTGGAATTCACATACAGCTTTAAGTTTAAATCACATTTAAATTTTCTGAATTTGTTCAATAGAAAATATTTTCTCGTTTTTAATTGACTACAATCCTTATCAAACCAAGGTGGTTGTTGTGAACGAGATTTCCGGGTGACTGTATCATAGGCTCCTGCTTTCACTGCACAGTGAATTAATCATTTAGCTGTTCTACAGCAATATCAATGTTTTCCTCCAATAATAAAGTAAATGTGTTTAAACATATCTATAACATCTTTACTGTGGAGATAATTTTGATAAGCAATTTGACAATCCGGAGGAAGCCTGTAACTTATCCTTGTGATATATAGGGCATGTTTCCAACGTTACCTGATTTAGTTCTTCCATCAACAATATGGATACCAAGTACCTTACACAAATGTAGTAGGTTTAAACCACAATTATTAACGACAGTATCTAGTGAATGTCGGGGGCAAGAGAAGTCATCGGATTTATAGTCATCATCAACAGGCAAATAATCAACATCATCATCTATGATGTACTCTAATTCACTTCCAGCCCTCGCCACACATTATGAATTCCGACAACTCGCCATAATCATTAATAATATCAAGCAGTTGTCGCTCTAGCATGTCACTCTCTTCACTTTCTGTGTACGCCGGTGACCCCTCGGGGTTAATGTAAACAAACACGAGGAAGAGTTGAAAGGTGGACAACTCGCTTTTCATTTGTTTGCTTGGCAGTAAATTCCACCGTAGGGAACCCCTGGTCTTGATAAACCGGAAGTTGCACCGTTGCAACTACCATTTCCTCGATGTACAGTTTTATTTAGACAGCAGCGTCGACATTTCAAGTTGGTTTTTATTCTATGCAAGCGTTAAATGTGTTAATTTTCAGTATAGTCTGAAGGCTAAGACAGTCCGTAGCTAGTTTTTAATGATAGAAATGTTTTTTATCTGTTATTTTAATATACACATGTGAAGTGAAATGGTAACACTGGGGCAGGAATGTTTCGTGCCGCAAATTCTGCATTAGCTGTTACTCTAATCTATAAACCCGCCATATAGCTGTAATATTGCTGAATGCGGCGTAAAACTAAACTCACTGAAACTAATCTATAAACATTTGTTTACATCACGGTTGCAAACTTGAGTAGTTTAGTAATCCTTTAACCATTTACCATTTTTCTTTTGTGACAAATATCTCGTAATTGTCTGTAATGTTACTAAATAGACACTGTACGCTCTAAAGGTAGTTGTTACCCTCATGTACTGGTAGTTGAGCAAAGCAAAATCAGAAATTGTACTGGAAGTTGCATATTTAATTGTATTGGATTTTCATTTAAGTGATATAAGAAAACGTATTGAGTATTCGTGTGGTTTTTGCAGGTATCTAAGATATGCCGTGTGGATAAGTATGACAATTCATTACTATTATTGTGACGAAAAGTTAAATTTTGAACATTAGTAATCATTGAAAAGAAAATCACATTTCCCAGCAACTGAAAGTACGATGCTTGATATTGGATGACAAAACTGGGAAATGAAGGCTCAAGACCCAAATTTCAACAACATTGTGCCGTTAACACTGAAAAGGAGCGGGAAATTATGTGTGCCGAACAATATTAATAACAGTATAAAAATCATTTTCACTACCGACGACCAAGAACCTATTACTAAAACACCTAAAAAGTCAACAATGGATTGAAACTAGGCTTTTACTTAAGCTGGATTCTGTGAATAAGCAAAATTCAATATTTGCATAGAGCTCAGGTCACAAATCAGTTGACTCCTGAGAGTTTCTAGGACTTCAGCCCTGCCCCACAACGAAGCACATGTCATACATGTGGTATCACCTCAGGCAAGTAAGTTTGTTCAAAACTGCCTCTGTTCACCCAGCAGATAATGGGTACCCTGTGGGATAAGTCATGTCACTATTACCTTTCTAGCGCTTCATAAGCAGCTTGAGTTATCCGAGGTAATAATAATCAGATTGTGACTGTGCGCTTTGAGAATGTGTTGGCGTGGATATATGCGCGGTAAAAATATGCTATTGTATTA